GGGGACGGCTGGGGAAAAGGGGGTCTCTGGGCCCCACGGCAGTCCTGGCTCTCAGGGCCGTGGGGCAGGCATTGCGGGAGGGTACCTTGGGAAGAAAAAAAAAAAAAAAATCACTGTGCTTTTTTTTTAAAAGAAAAAAAATCTTAAAGAAAGAGGCTTCTCCCAGGTTTGCTTCCCTGCTCGTCGGTGCATCCCGGGTTGTCCTGGAGGCTGAAGGCCGTGAGGGTGTTACAAAGCTAAGCAGCATGTGTGCAAACGGCTCTTGGATTTAGATCATTCTCGTCGTAGAAGCCTCCAACTGCTTTGCTGCGTTCCTGCTGCTTTATGGATCTGTTTATTTTGGTGCTTATTTTTGCATTGCGTTTAAATGATGAACTCAAAGCTTCAGCCCTGTGGAGGCAGAGGCACCTGCTTTTCCATAGGTGCTGCGAGGGGCGAGGTTGTCCTGACGTGTACGCGGCCTTTGGGAGATTTTCCTTTGCTTTGGTTTTCCTGCCCTGCTGCTGGGCTGTGGGTTGGTGAGATCCTACGTGGGGTGTTCTGCTCAGAAACTGTAAGAAAAAAACCAACTGTTTTTAAAAAGAAAAAAATCACAGTATTTCAATTTTGTAAATTTTATAAGAATCTAAACTGTGGATATAAACCAGCTGACAGTAAAAGTGATGTATATAGCAAAATATTTGTGGATGCATTAAGCAGCTTACTCAGTGGAGCACATCTAAGCTTGTGCGTTTAACACAAACTGAGTGCGGGGGCTGAGGGTTTCCCTCCCGGTGTGTTTACATCCCTCTGTCCCGCACAGGTGCCAGCTTGCTGTATGGCCTCGTGCGATCAGAGAGGCATTTAACAAAATTCTCAATCTGATAAATTGTTTAAAAATAGGAAAATACAACAAAATTGTCAGGGAAACCAGAATCAGGTCCTTTTCTAGTTTTCAGCTGATAACCGGTGGCGTCTTTTTCCCACCACTTCAATTTGTGCTGGGTTTTGCTGGTGATAATCAGAGTTCTCTTCACCGCCCTGGCAAGGGGGAGAGGGGTTGCTTTTGGGAAGCTGCGAGTTAAGCGCTGGTATGGAGAGACCCAGGAATTCCGTGCAGCGTTTCTGGCCATTGTTTTGTGCATTTGTTGCAGCAGTCGTGTGGTTTAATCCTGCGCTCTGGAATTAGTGTGATGACCGGTCCTGTCCGTTTGCTGAGTGCTGCTTGCCATAGACATGCCGATTTGGTTTCTCGCTGGCTTATCTGTGTCAGAAACTACCTTGCTCACACAGCAGAGAAGAGCTGGAGTGTTGGTTTAGTCTCAGATAGCCAGTGTTTAGCTTTGCTTAAAAGTACGACAAATATATCTGCTTTATAAGTGCAATAATTCCTCTGACCGTGGAAAGTATTATTTGCAAATGTTACTTATTTCAGAGCAAGCGAACGCTTTGTTTGTGGCGGCTGGCACAGAAATCCCTACAAGGTCTGTGATAAGGCGTATCAGTTTAATCCCCCTCTTACTCAGTCCAAGCTGTGAACGAAAGGGGAACGGGTTGAAGGTGAGTGTGCAGCCACTTCCCCACCATCGGGGTGTCCTCCTGGCAGCTGTGGCCTGCAGTCCAGCATCCCAAGAAGTGTGAGCTGGATGGTAGATGCTCTGCGGCTCACCGTGATGCGACTTCATCCTTGTGCCTACCGCAGGAAGGCTGTGACTTTTGATACCTAAAAAGTACTGTCATATTGAAATCTGGGTGGCTTATAGATATAGGAAATGAGGAGAATATCTCAGCAGGGTTTAGTAACCTCCTGTGGCTCGAACTGAGTTGTTCACAGTGGTTGCTGGGCGTTGTGCAATAACGTTATTGCTGGAGCACCGGTGAGGGCACGGGGTAAGGTGTGCTGGAAAATGGGGTCCCAGGCTCTGCCGTGTGTCAGGAGCTCCCCCCGGAGACCTGTGGTTACCCTGATCCCATCCCCAACCCCTCCTCTCTTGGCTTGTAGGATCCCGAGAGTCTTCTGGCAGGACTTTCTTCTCCCAGGTGAAAATTCGCCTCCGAGTCAAAGCTTACAGCATCGTTTTGAGAAAAGCTGCTGTCCTGGAGATGCCGTAATTGAGGAGTGCTGCTCAGACAGCCAGACTTTGCTTGTAGCCACAGGGTCCGAGGCTTTGCAAATTAGTTTCTAAAAATGCAAATTGGTTTGGAAGAGAAGCACCGAGGTTTGCACATTGCTATTCTGGGATGAACGCAGAGGCTTTGCTACGGAGCCAGCAAAGGAAGATGGAGGCCCTTCTCATTTTGACTGCTGTGCTTGGACACCTCTGGCAAACTTCTCGCCTGTTACAGTAACAATTAGCATAGAATAGCTGTGATGGCTTGAAAACTGTTGAATCTTGGCATCAAGAGATGCTTTTTTCTCTTTTTTTCTGGGGTTTCGTAGCACGGTAGCAGGTCTGAAGGTCCTCCACTGTGCATAGTCCCTATCTGAAGTCACAGGACCTAAACAGGTATGAGGAGATATTACTGCCCTCCCATAGGTAAGGATCTTGGGCACAGAGAGATGAAGAGGCTTGGACACAGTCATGTACGGAGAGCAGGCAGAGCAAGAAGAGGTATCTGACCACCTCAGTCCCTGTCCTGTAATCCAGACGCAAAACTTCTCCGGTCTTGAGTCTGGCCTTCCAAAGATCCATCACTTCACCTCAAACCAGTGGTGGATTCCTGCATAATATAATGAAAGAGGCGGCTGCAACATCCATGTCGTTCTCTAGGCAGGCATGATAATGACAGGGAGTATCAGAAATGACCCAGACACTGGATATATCCTTCATGGATCCTGCATTCAAGTTTGGAAATGTAAAATAGGATTTTTAATACATTATTTTCACCTGGCTTCTTAAAGAAACACCTCAAACTTGCTCCTTATTTGACAGCAGAGCACCCACCTAGACACAAGCAGTGAAGGGAAAAATCCATCAATCAGTGCTTGCACCTTAGCAGAGCCCAAGGAGGGATGAGGCCGTGGTGAACTCTGGCTCTGTTGGATCAGCCGTGAGTCATTTATTCCACCCAGCAGATGAACACATGTGCTGGGACTTTGGTTCTGCATGGTCCGTCCAAAATTTGCCCTGACTTGGAGCCCCGTGCTGTTTTTCACACTGTCAGCATTTTTCATGCACTGCCTCCTGCCCGTGCCTCGATGCTGCGTTTTACATGAATAGCTTTGCGGAGGGCACAGCCCCATCGACCTCTTGTGTCCTCCCTGGACTCCGGCTTGGCTTTGCGAAGGCTGCTCTGAGCCCGTTTGCTGAGCAGTGTCAGCAGAGTCAAGGGGAGAGCCCCCGCCATTCGTGTCCATCAGAGGCATCAACCCCAG